TGCCTCTCCTGGTATGTCCCACAGAGGACCTTATGGTCTTCAAACAAAAACATCTTGGAGATCCCGGGCCACAGGGAGGTTAGGCTGGCCTCAACCAGAGCCAGGGCCTTTTCAGTATTGGCCCCAACTTGGTGGAACGCTCTGTCACAAGAGACCAGGGCCCTACGGGACTTGACACCTTTCCACAGGGCCTGCAAGATGGAGCTGTTCCACCAGGCCTTTGGCCAAGGCACAGCCTGACCCCCTTTCTCCTTCTGTAATCTTCACAGAACTCTAACCCGATGGTTGCCATTAATTTGATTCTGAATTGATTCTGGAACGTATTTTAATTAACTGCACAATTTTATGTACACTGTGCTGTTTTTACCTGTTGTTAGCCGCTCTGAGCCCGGCTTTGGCTGGAGAGGGCGGATACAAATAAAAATTTATTATTTTATTATTATGATAAAGAGCTGTTCAACAACGAAACAGGCTTCCTTGGGAGGTGATTGGCCCTCTGGGACAGCTACCTGTCAGGGATGTTGTGGTTGCACTGGAGGCCCTGAAGCCAGCAGGGGGCTGGACTAGCAGATCTCTCAGGCACCATACGCCTCTATGATTCCAACGGGAACGAGCCGTTCTGCGACTCCGCTGCTGGCAAAGTTGAGCTTTCTGGAAAACCCGGCTAAGATTGCAAGTGCAGGCTGACAATTGAAGGAGGAGGCCGTTCCATGGAAGGCCAACTTGCCGTGTTGTGGAGCGGCATAAATATTCCCGCTAATGAGCCAATTAGTTACACAAAGCGAGGGAAATATTAGGCACCATAGCAGATTGGGCCATAAATCACATCGGCAAAGCAGCGCCCCGTGGACCCTCCTCTCCCAAACCTGAGTGATATGGCAGTTAATAAATTAAACGCACACTTTCTTGCACCCGGGAGTCACGATTTGCAAGCTCTCTTTGCAACGGGAGGGCCAGGAAGGCAAGTCAAAGGTGAATGCCTCACACGTTTGTGTGACCATTCGCTGAAGCTTAACCCCATAACCTCTTTTCCTGCGCAGCGAGAAAACAGGTGACGCAATTAAAGGGGGTTTCTTCTGAGCGCAGGATATATCGGCAGGAAGCTGCAGGATATTCGCTGACTGGAAATGAAGCAGCGCGACCGCCCCAAATCTCTGGCAGGAGCAAGCAGCGCTGAAATTGGGAACATGGCTGCCTGCTCCCAAAGCACAAACCATCACGAATTTGCAATAAAACAGACCTCTAGAGTAGGGTTACCAGACGTCCCATTTCCCGGGACAGTCCCCGGATTTGCAA